GGTCCCTGTGCTTTGCTAAGCTTGTTCTAAGTAGGAGCTTTAGACCACCGAGCCATCTCACCAGCCCCTAAAGCAGTAAATTTTCTTAGGAAATGTTGCAGATAGTTTATAGAAAGTAAAGACAAGCAGTGCAATAAGCATACATCCAGAGGTATCACATACTGGTCTTAAGAGTTCCATGTATTTTTGCGCCTTTTATTTTCATTTTAAAGATGAGGAAGTGTAGCTGGGCATGATGACATATGCATGTAATCCCAGCACTGGGGAAGCTGAGGCAGTAAGATCGCCCGGAGTTGGAGGCCACCCTGGGCAACCAAGCAAGTTCAAGAGCGGCCTAAGCTACACAGGAGACCTAAAGAAGAAGAAGGAAAAAGAAAAAAATAAATAAAAGACAAAGGCTTGAGGATAGGATTGTTGCCTAGCATGCCTCAGGCTCTGGATTCAATCCCCAGCACCATACACAAAAAATGTGTAAAATAAAGATGAGGAAGGTGAGACATTAAGTGATTATAGACAGCGAAGTTTATACCTTAAAAGTCTTCCCAAATTAACATTTAAGTTAATGTCTATTCCTCCTAATTTTTCTAGTAAATTTTCAAGCCTTAAAAAATAGGATTGGGGGGCTGGTGAGATGGCTCAGTGGTGTAAAGCACCTACTTAGAACAAGCTTAGTAAAGCACAGGGACCGCGGTTCAATCCCCCAGCACCACATGCCAGCCAGCCCTGCCCCCTGGTGGGCTGAGCTGACCATACACACACACATATAAATAAAAATTAAAAAAAAAAAAAATAGGATTGGGGGTGCCGGGGAGATGGCTCAGTAGAATAAATGCTTGCCTGACAAGCACAAGGACCTGAGTTCAATCCCTGGTTCCACAAAAAAACCCAAACAAACAAAAAAAGAATTGGGCCGGGGAGAAGGTTCAGTGGAATAAGCTTTTCCTCAGCAAGTGCAAGGGTTTGAGTTCAATCCTCGGTTCTGCCAAAAAGGATTTGGGGCCAAGGAGATGGCTCAGTACAATAAGCACTTCCCTGGCAATCACAAGGGCCTGAGTTCAATCCCTGGTTCTGCCCTCCCCCAAAATGGACTGATGTATATTAAAGACCTTCATTTTCCATGAAGATCTTCATCTTTCCAGGTTTACGAATGCTTTTCTTTTTCTTTTTGTCGGAACCAGATATTGAACTCAGACCTTTGGGCTTGCCAGGGAAGCACTTATTCTACTGAGCCATCTCCCCGCCCCCTATAAATGCTTTTCTAGTACAGTATTGTATTCATTTTAGTGTTGGGGACTGAACATGGGGCTCTCTCACCCCTACCCCAACCTAAAACCTAAGCACAGGCTCTACCACTAAGTTGCAGATCCTAGTTATTTAGCATCTACATTTACCAAATGGCTTCCATGTAAGGAAGTGCACCAGAAAAAGTTTCAGGGCTCCCCGCTAAATATTTATGGTTTCTCTCTAACCTAGGAATTATAAAATGCTTACCTAGCATGTGTGGGGTCCTGGGTTTAATCCCAGAAAGGAGAGGCAGGAGTGAATAAGGGTTGGGAATATAGGGCAGTGGTAGTGACAGAGGAGGTAGGGTGCAGCAAAACTGGCTGGAGAGGTGGATGGTTCCTGTCAATGCAGAGCCCAGGTAAGAGCCAAATATTCTGTGGACCCTGTATGTGGAACTTCTCTCTGGCTCCCACGAGGTAGGGGCAGCATAAAAGAGATCAGAGTGCACGGGGAGCCCACTATGGTGGCTCCACTGTGCACTTTTATTTTTCCCTTTTATCCTTTTTTCTCTTTGTTCAGCTCAAGTCAGCTCTGCAAAGCCAGTTTTTCCATTAATCCTCCCCCCTCACCTTTGAAACAAACTCTGGACACTGTTTTTTGTATGTTTTGGATTTTTAGTATTTTTTTAAGACAAGATCCTCCACTCCCTACAATCCTCCTGCCTCAGCCTTTGGAGTCCTGGGATTATAGGCATGCACCACCAAGCTTGGCCCTCGTTCTTGGCTCTCTCATCCAAATATTTGTGGCAAAAAGGACATGGAATACTTTTGTTTGATGAGCCATTTCAAGGAACTACCAGAAAATAACAGAGTGCCTGCCCTGGATTCCAACCCCAGCACAGAGAGAAAGTAAGAGAGGGAAGATAAGGTGATGCTAGTGAGAGGGTTCAAAAATGATAACTAGGGGCCCAGTAGAATAAGTGCTTGCCTGGCAAGCGCAAGGGCCTGAGTTCAATCCCCGGTACCGCATACCATGCCAGCTGAGGCAGGAGGATCACTGTAAGTCTGAACTGTGTAGTGAGAGCCTGTAGTAAATAAATTAAAAAATAAAAAGATTTTTTTAAAAATGGTAATTACATAGAGGTGTCAGCTATCACATTTCTGGTGATTCCACATTCCAGAAAACATTAACCTATATGAAAAAACATCAATCTATACACTTCAAATATGTACAGGTCTTATTATTGTTTCTTTTTCTGGAACTGGAGAATGAAACCAGGGCTTCCTTCCTCTGTATAATTTTTTTTTTCCTTTTTGGAGACAAGGTCTGATTTTGTAGTTCAGACTGACCTTGAACTTGCCATGTAGCTCACCATGGACTCTGCTGGTGCTGATCCTCCTAGCTCAGCTTCCTGAGTGCTGAGATTACAGGCGTGTGCCACCACATCCAGGTTTGTGCATTTTTTTTTTTTTTTTAAGTTCTCACAAGCGGCATGTGTGGAGGTCCTGCGGATCTGTTTCTTGCTTCAACAGTGTTTGGACGGAACAGACCTGGGAGCTCCCTCTTTCATCTTCCTATCCACCTTCCAGGTACAAATTTTGGGAACATCTTGCCTATCTCCTCCTTCCAGGACTGGACAACACCGTTCTTTTGTGGGTAGCTCCTTATTGCTGATCAACCATGACCTCTCAGATTCGTCAAAATTATTCCACCGGGGTGGAGGCTGCTGTCAACTGCTTGGTGAACCTGCACCTGCAGGCCTCCTACACCTACTTCTCTCTGGGGTACTTTGACCCAGATGATGTGGCTCTGGAGAATGTGGGCCATTTCTTCTGTGAGCTGGGCAAGAAACGCGAGGGTGCCAAGCATCTCCTGAAGATGCAAAACCGGCACGGTGGCCGTGTATTCTTTTTTTTTTTTTT